GCTTACTAATGTAACTCAAAAGTAAGAGTGTTGAATGTAATGAGTATTATAGAAACCCAAACATTATTATACAGGTGCAAAGCAATGTTTATACAACCAAAGAACAAAAAAAATCCATTTATTATAAGCCCAGAAATAGAGGCATGTTACTTGAGTTTTGGAGTTAAAAAAAAAAAAAGGAAAAGAAAGGCCCATAAATTCACATCTGCATACACTACCACGTGTTAATGTACAATACACATGTCCAACATCTAAAAGGTTGCATCGGACGGTCACAATCAAGTCAACGGGATCGAACGGTTTACACTGAGTATGAGAGTGTATAAAAGCCTTTTTGTCACAAAAAATGTAGGGTTTTACTCATTTTTCTGAGCCAGCCTTTTCTCTCTTCTTCAACAGCACAAGTTTGCACTCATCGCAATTCATATTGGTTCTTTCAAAAATCCGAACAGGAAACACATTTTTTTTTTTTTAATCGAAGTAAGAAAAGCGTTTATATTTCGGATCTATTTCAGATCCGATAAAATAAAATGCTTTTGTTTCAGATTGGACATAAAAGATGGTATTAGCAGCAGCCATCGATTCAAAGTGAGGATGTTGGAGCCACAAAAATGGCTATGTACGTTCCAAAATATGTGCAATTGTTGTTATTTAATATTTAATGGCGTGAAAAAAGGACTTTCATTATTGTACCGAAATTCAAAAAATCACTATGTATATTCCAAATTATGTGCAATTGCTGTTAATTAATAATGTGAAAAAGGATTATTATTCTATTCCATATTTAATCAGGTAGTAATTAATAGTGATTTTATGAAATTATGTTAAATTACTATTTATAGGCAATAATTAATGTTTTTGGCGGGAATTAGTTTCTAAAAATTAATTAAGTTAATCCTTATTATATATTAATAGATTTTGAGTAAAAGTTACTTTAAAGGTTCATCGTATAGAATTTCGTCAATAATGGTCCACTCAATTTCTACTTTTAATCACAACTCATATAATAACAAACACAGTGTACTAAAAGTGGCGACCACTTTCGATTAAAAGTGGTAACTTGGTGGATCATTTGTGATGACGCCTTATATGATAGACTTTTTTCGAAAAACAACCAACAAATTATACACCATTGTTGAAATTTTGCTCTAAAAAAAAAAAGATGTACGCATCACCATTCACACAAGTGCAAACG